ACACCCTCCACCAGCCCCTGCCCAGTTGACCTTAGGATTTACAAAGTAGGAAGAAAACAAAAAGGAAGAAAAGGGGGCAGAGGGCTCAAGATTCCCCCAGGATCCCAGCCAGGCTGCCGCAGGGAGGCCTGGCAAGTGCCATAACTATCGGCAGACTCTCCAGTGGCCCGTATGAAATACGGACTCTCTCCCTGACGAAGCCAGCAGGCTACCCCTGGCAGGGGCAGCGGAGAGAGCGCCAGCCCTGGAGTCAGACCAGCCTGAGTTCAAGTCCTCCTCTGCCAGGGACTGGCTGCGCGGTATTGGGCAAGCCTCCTCACCTCTCGCAGTCTCGATTTCCTCATCTGCAACACAGCGATGGTAACACCTTAGTGCTAAGACGGTGAGCAAATTAAGGGCGACCAGATACAGAGAGCACCACACCCAGCACCCAGGGGTGCTCCCTGGAGGTGGGTGAACCGATCAAGCTGTCCATTCCCTCTGCTTTAAAATGGGGTGATCATTTGTGAACCCCCTACCTCTCAATGGGAGGGCTTGTGTGGGAAGGAAAAGTTGAGGTTATAAAGACATGGAAATGGGATGAAAGCACAGACAATTTTGTTCTCATGGATGGTTTCTTTGGCGTGGGAGAAAAGAGCTGGGAAGACGTGTACTGTGGAAACAGGTCCTGGGCACTTAGCACAGTGCCTGGCACAAAGGCAGTGTCTCTTAAACAGCAGTAATAATCATATTAATTACTATTAATTACCAGTAATAAGAAACTGGTGGGAGGCCTGCGATGTACCCTGGCGATGCTGAAAGGGGTCCCTTTGGCGTCACTCCCACCCAGTAGAAGGACCCACAGGAAATGTGGGACCCAGCCCAGCGGAGGGACTGCTGCCCTGCTGAGCATGCCAGGGACAGGAGCTTACGGAGGGCCTGGCAATCGAATTTCAGGGCCTCCAGAGAACATCGCACCGGGGACACAAGGCCAGCCCGCCTTCCCGCTGTTTGACAATGTGGCACGGGCTGCAGAGTCAACCTTCACTGAAAAAAACTTTACTGTGGCTTGAGATTGTTTGAAAACTGATCTAATCCTATGCTCCCGCTCTGCAGGTGGGGAAACTGAGGCTTGGAGAGAGGAATGCCCCATACCAGGTCAGCCAAGGGTGTGGATGCGAGCTGCAGAGCCTGGGCTTGGGTCAAGCTTGTCACTGTTACTGGGCACCTCCCACGGGCAAGGCACCCACCATGGGCCAGGGTCCCACGGGGACATGGTTGGGCACTGTTTGGTGGTTTTGGACTCTCTAGCAGATGAACAGGGGACCAGCTGCGCCACGTAGAGTTCTGCTGGACTGTGCTAACAGAGGGTCCCTCCCTAGAAACTCGCAACAAGGTCCCTCCCAGCTGGCAGCAGGTGAGGTCTCTCTCGGCAAGGTGAGGTCATCCCTGACTTAGTGTCACTTACCTGGAGAAGGAGCAGGTTTCTCAGAGGGAGTGTCCTGGCGACCCTAGAGGACTCCTCTCTCTAACCCGATACTATTGATCTTTTATTGCATGCACTAAGCACCGTGCCAAAGGCTTATAAACCCAGACACATTAAATTGTTTCACAACCCGTGAAGCAGGCACTATTATTAAGGCCAGTTTACAGAGGATGAGGATGAAGTCAGCTGGTGAGGGGAGGGGCCAGAATTTGAACCTACAGGCTGACTTGAGAGTGCCTACTTTAAAACAACAACAACAAAATTTCCATTATGATATAATTTTGAACTTAAAAATTGCAAGGATAATAGAGAATTTTTTATGCTTTTCACCAAGTTTCCCCAAACGTGGATGTTTTATCATATCCTCATCTCACCACACTGCTTTACAATACCCCCGTCCACCTGAATCAGTTTGCGAGGGCAGCCGTAACAAAAAATCACAGACCGGGTGGCTTAAACAACAGAAATTTATTTCCTCCCAGCCCTGGAGGCTGGAAGCCTGCAATCGAGGCGTCGGCAGGGTTGGCTTCTCCCTCCGTGGCTTGCAGGCGGTTGCCTCTCACCGTGTCCTCGCGCGGCCTTGTCTGTGTGCACACCCCTCCTGTCTCTGTGCATTCAAATTCCCTCTTCTTGGAAGGACACTGGTCAGATTGGATGAGGGCTCACTCTAAAGACCTTCTTTTAATTTACTTTCCTCTTTTAAAACATTATCTCCAAACATAGTTACATTCTGAGATGTTTAGGGGTTAAGACTTCAACATACACATTTCAGGGGACACACCTGAGCCCATGACACTCTCTAGCTACACGTTTTCTTCAGAACCATTTTACAGCAAATTGCAGACATGAGGCCCCTTTAACGCTAAATACTCCAGTGTGTATTTGCTACAATCAAGGACACGTTCTCTTACATGACCACAGGACAATCGTCAAAATCAGGAGATGAGCACAGATGTGACACTATTGTCTAAGCTACAAACCTCATGGCCATCTAGCCTATTAACTTTGATTACTTAATGAAGGCTATAGCCGCCAAATTTCTCTACTGGAGAGTTATTTTTCCCTCCAAAATTAATAATTGTCTTGTGGGAAAATATCTTGAAACTATGTAAATGTCTTATTTCTCAAGTTTTCACATCCGTTGATGATTCTTGTTGCAATCCATCATTACTGCGGTGGTTGCCGGATGGTCACTTTCTAACTCCATCATTCTTTCTACTTCTCCCTTATGTGTTTGTTTACTTATTTATAGCAGTAGGAACTCCTAGATTCTCATCGTATTCAATGGGTTATAAGCCTTTATTACCATTATTTATCTTGATGCTCAAATTGTCCCAGATTTGGCCAGGGGGAGCCTTTTCAACCAGAGAGCCCCCACTTTTAAATACAAAAACATTTGTACCCCCTTAATATTTCGAAATAAAAATAAATAAAATAAATACAACATTGCACCATGTCCCTTGACCTTGACCAGAAAGGGAGCATGTCTGTGAGAAGCAGTCCCTGCAGGGGGGAATGAGGCACTGACCCCCTTGTTCCTGCAGGCTGGGCATGGGAGCAAAGGATCCAGGCAGCGTGGTGTTCGAGAGTGTTGGACAGGTCCCCTGGGGATTCATTCACTAGTTGAGAACCTACTATGTTCCGAGCCTGGCCTGGGCTCTTGAAAAGCTCATAGAAAATGGGACTAGAGAAGATAGACAACTCACAATTGTGCAGTTTCTAAAATTGAGAACTTTTGTACCCAAAGAGGTAACTGGAGTGGCTCTTTTAGCTCTGCAAATGGAGGGCAGTGAGCATTCAGTTTGGGGGATTGTTTTGAGTGCTAGACAAAGCTGCCTCAACATCTTGTCACTCGGGAAGCTAGTGGACCCATCTGCATACAAAACCCAAGGCCTTTAGGAGGTAAGGAATAGATGTCACAATGCCAGGCCCAGAGGCAGGAAAGTGTGATGAGGGCTCTGAAATCAAATTCACCACAGCAAAGGAAAGGGTCAGGGTGCCGCACAAAGCCCTCCGGTTTGGAGAAGTCCTGTGCCCTCCGCAGAAGAAGGACGTGCTGTGATGTGGCAGCCCCACAGAACAGCTGGCTGTGCGGTGGGGGTACTTCGGGCAGCGAGGACGGCATAGGCAAAGGAAAAGGACAACGAGCTGCAACACGCCCCCGTGTCGCTCCCAAAGCCACCTCTGTGGGTGGAGTCGCAGCCGCTGTGCAAATACCTCACATTTATGCCCCTCCTCACCCCAAACATCTGGACCAGGAATCCTTCAGACCTGGATTCCAATTCCAGTTCTTGCACTTCCTAGCTGAGTGACTTTGGAAAGTCACTTTACCGCTTTGAGCCTCCTCTCAGTTATTCCTTCAACATGCATTTATTGTGGGCCTACTATGTGCCAAGCACTATTCTAGGCATATGCAGTGGTGAGTGAGATAAACAAGGTCCGGCTGGGAGACTGGCTAACATGTGTAATCCCAGCACTTTGGGAGGCTGAGGCGGGAGGATCGTTTGAGGCCAGGAGTTCAAGACCAGCCTGGGCAACATAGTGAGACCTTGCCTCTACAAAAATTTTTTAAAAAAACAAGCTCCTACCTTCATACCTCCTACCTCCTCCTACCTTACATTCTGGTTGGGGAAGATGGACAATAAACAGTAAGCACATACATAAACAAGGAAATACCCTATGGAAATATTAAGGTAATACAAGAACAATTTCAGAGGTGAAGACTCCTTTAGCCAGGGTGATCAGGAAAGGCCTCTCTGAGGTGGTGACATCTGAGCTGCCCTGAAAGATGAAAGAGCCAGGCAAGTTAACCTAAGAGGAAATAGCAAGTGCAAAGGGCCTGTGGCAGGAATGAGCTTGGTGTGTTTGGGGAACAGAAAGACAGGCTCTGTGGCTGAAGAGTAGTAGGTGAGGGGGGAGTGGCCAGAGGGTGTGTGTTAACGATCTGATCTCTGTTTTGAGAACATTGTTGGTGTATGACGAGAACCTTTAGGGGTAAAGCGGGGAGACTGTCAGGAGGCTGCTGCCATTGTCCAGGTAAGTTGCTGGTGCTTGGGCCAGGTGGTAGGGCTGGAGCGGGGCAGAAGTGGTCCCACACAGGAGACTATGGGAGACAGAGCTGGCCTGAGTCATGGGGTGGGCAGGAAGGGAGAACGAGGGACAGAGCAAGGCCCTGAGGTTTTGGCCTGGATAGCCGAGATGGGGTGAAGAGGGGCGCGGAGGTGGGGCTGACCATCAGGAGTTGGACTTTGGCCGTGTCGTGTTTGCAGTCCCCGTTTGACGCCCACTGGAGGCGCAGAGTGGGGCAGTTGCCTACGAGTCTAGATCCCAGGGAAGCTGTTCGCTCTGGAAATACAAACCTAGGGCTCATAGAAAAGCACGGAGAGGCCCGGGACCACCGACTGTAAAACGAGGCAAATGACACCTCCACCCACGGGCCTCTCGCGAGGTGTCATGTGAATGCAGCCGGCAAGCGCTGGAGCAGGGCAGAGAATCCCGGCGGGGCAGAGACAGCTTCGGCCCCGGGGGCGGGGCCGGGGCGGGGCCGAGGGCGGGGCGGCCTCTCGCGGCCGGAGGGCGGCCGGGGCGGTGACGTCACCGCATGACTGGGTTTTTATGAATGAAAGGAATCCTGTGAGTGAGTAATTCCGGGAAGCTCGCCTTACAACTCCGCGCGGCCCCGGCCCCCTGCGCCGCCCGCCGCACAACAAAACTCAGCGCCGCGCTCCCGGGAGCCGGGTTCGGAGCGGCCTGCGGTTCGGACCGGGGCGGAGGGGAGGCCGACCAGGGGACCCGCTGGGACAGCAGCCGCGACAGCCGCGAGACACGCGCGTGCGAGGCGCGCCAGGCCAAGCGAGCCGAGAGGCGGGTGAGGAACGCGGGTCCGGGACGGGGACGGCGCGCGGGACCCCGAGGCGGCAGGGTTTCCGCGCCCCGGGCCGTGCCTGGGGCGGGCGCCGGGCGCGATCCGTCGGTGCTCCCCGGACCCGTCGCGGGACGGCTGCGTGCGGGAGGGGGGCCGCGGCACCGGGGGCACCGAGACGGGGCCGGGCCCCTCGGCGGGTGGGGGCGGAGACGGGGCCCCTTCCCAGGGCGCGGGCGGGAGGCGGCCGAGCGGGGAGGAAGGGGCAGCGCAGGCTGGCGAGCCTCAGCGTCCGCCCAGGCGGGGGCGGGGGCGGTGTGTGCACGTACGTGACTCGGTGAGAACAGTCCCTGGACTGGGGCCCGCGGGCCGTGCGTGCGCGGTTTGTTTACGTCCGGGGGCAGGCGGGCTGGCGTGTGCGTTCCCTGGCGAGCGTCCTGCCGGTCCTGCCCGGTGGTGCGCGGTGCACCTCGGGGTGTGTGTGTGTGTGTGTGTGTGTGTGTCCGTCTGTCCGTCCGTCCGTGTCCGCGCGCGCGCTCCCTGGGGCCTGTGTACCAGCGGTGTTTACTTCGGAGAGGGCGTGTCCCGGTCTGTCCACCGGAGTAAACGCGGAATAAGGACCCGAGCAAAGGAAGCCGACAGGTCCGTGGTCACCCCGGGGCCGCGAATTCTCGCCCCGGGCGCCCTCTTTCTTACCAGCCAGAGCTGCCAGGCCTCCGCTCTCTGCGGAGTTTCCCAGGGCCGCCACCATGTGACCCCAGTGTTTGTCCCCCGCCCAAGCCGGCGCCCGCAGCCACAGGGTGGGGCGAGGTATCGCAGACCCCACCCAGCTGAGCTGGGGGTGAGGTGAGGGAGCCACCCCTCGCCCAGCATCCTGGTGGATCTGGTAACAGTGAGTGAATTGGAGCCCAGATTCTTGTCCCCAGGTTTTTGGGCTCCCTGGGTAGAGAGGACCCTGGGGACGCTTGTTCATCCCCAGGGTTGCCCATCCCCTCAAGTCTCAGGAAAAACAGGAAGGGCCAGAAAATCCACGGCAAAGGTGGGGACAGGGAGGGAATCCCCGGTTTCCTCTCTTTGGTGGCCACTCTGGCTAATCTGGGTTCTGGAAGCTGTACCTGCTGGGTCGCAGAGGATGAGGGGGAGCCGGTTTCTGCCCTCCAGGTAGTTTCTGTTCATAGATGGGACTAGTCAAATGGGACCTATTGACAGCCGGACCCCAGAAGCTAATTGAGGACCTGTGCCAGCTGGCAGACTCAGAGTCCTCAGCCCAAGCCAGGCAGGGTCAGCTGGCAGTGGGGATAGGCGCTCTTACAGGTAGAAGGGTTAATGTGGAAGGGGTGGCAACTGATCCAGCCCCACCCATCCGCTTACCCAGCAGCACTGCAGAAAGCACCTGTTTAGCCCAGCAGCCGAAGGATGGGTTGGCGGCTAGGGCACTTGAGCTTGCTAGGATGAGGAACCAGTGATCTTTTAACTTTGAATCTTCGAGCCCTGGTGAGCTGCAGATGTCCCCATGTACAGCTGGAACTAGGCCAGGACCTCCCAGGCCAGGAGCCCGGGATTTCCTGGAGTATGTGGGCTTTGAGTAAAGGGGGTTGCAGTCAGGAGCGCAGGAACCAGGCGGGCCCATCCTCAAAGCCAGGCAGGAAACATCCCCGAGCGGGGCTAGGGTCAGGGGCTGAGGGGAAGTGGCTGTTGACTCAGTCACAGATGGAAAGTTAGCACTGAAAGGTTTGACCTCCCACTGAATCACCCCGGGGCTCTCTAGGGCCCAGGACCCAGCAGGCTCTATCAGTCCTGATGTTTCTATCCCTACGTTGCCACTGGGCCCCTGTTGTGGCCAGATGCTGGGGATGAAACCGTGAACGAGCCAGATCCAGAGACGGCTCTCTGGGAGCTCGCAGCTGAGCAGGGGAGACAAAGGTGAAGAAAGAGCCATAGGACTAATGCAAAACCACAGCTCCCATGGGTGGTGTGAGGGAGAAGTCATTGCGGTTTGAGAGTGTATATCAGGACTTAGCCAGGGCAATCAAGGAAGGCTTCCCTGCAGAAGTGACCAGTGAGCCGATTCTGATGGAGTGGTGATATCTGGGAAGCCCTGGAGATCAGGAGCTTTCATCTTCGGGCCTTCAGGACGAGGCACAGAGCCTGGCACACAGTAGGTGCTTCTTGGATGTTTGCTGATTGAATGAATGGGCACTGGGTCCATGTCCTTGAAGAGCTCCACGGCACATGGAGAAAAAGGCCTGGGGATCCCAGGGAAGCAGGAAGCCAGGGCCGGGGCTGGAGGATCCTTGAGGCAGTCTCCCAGAGAGGGCAGATCCTTCAGGGCTCAGGTGACCTCCTCCCACACACACGCACTGCCCGTGTGTCCCTGTGGGAAACATGCAGGGACAGTGGAGTGCCTGTTCATTCATCTGTTGTCAGCATGCGATCCTGGGAGCGGGAACATAGCGGAGCCTGAGGGCCCGACTGTGTGGGCTGGGAAGAGCCGGCACTGCAGGGTTTTGAAATGGGCCAAACATGGTCAGGTTTGCGGGTTTGCGTCAGAGACGATCCCTCCGACAGCCCTTGGGGGAGGATCAGTGGGGAGAGTTGGAGATGGAGGCCAGCGAGCAGGTGCTGTGGTCATGGGCCAGAGGAAACAGGAAGTGGTCCCTGGCTGTGCCGGTGGAGCAGAGGGATGGTCTGGGGGTTTGTGTCTTCTGCTTTCCTTCCCCTTCTTCTAGGGCCTCCACTCTGCTGGTGGTCTTGGAGCTCTGGGCCAGAATCTGACACTATAAACTTGGAGATCATCATTGTTGGGAGGTACCTTGGGCTCAGAGGAGGTTTGGCATGTTGGGAAACTGAGGCCCAGAGCGAGGGAGTGACGTCCCTGAAGTCACACAGCCAGTGTGAGTGGTGGCAGAACTGGGGCTGGAACCCCAGGCCGTTGCATCCCTGCAGTGCTCGCTTCCCCCCGGCCTTGCTCCCCTGCCAGCAGGGAGGAGGCTCCACCAGTGCGAGCTGCCAAGACCCAGGAAAACACATTTTTTCCCTCTGTCCTCACAGAGCAAGCAAAATGGCTCAGCAGCCAGGAGGAACCCATGCCAGTGGGTGGGGATGTCTCTGGGATGGACCGGGGGGCCAGGGAGGGGGACGTAGAAGGGCCTGTAGCCACTGACTGGACAAGGCAGCTGTCTGTCCCCCAAGAGTAAGAGTGCTCCCCAGGCCTCCAAAGAGTATCAGGAACCTGTAGCCCTGGAGTCAGCTCTGCTGGCTTCCTAGGAAAGAAGGGAAGAAGCCGGGAGGGGTGCTGGTGCCGGGCATGGAAGAGAGAGCCCTGAGCCGGGGATCAGGACCCCCAGGTTCTGGTCCACCAGCGCCACCAAACAGCTGTGTGGTTGCTTCCATTGCAGAACAGGGGTTGGATCAGCTGCTGTCTCAGGCCCAGGTTCAGCCAGACTGGCAGAGGTGGAGGACCCAGGCCCCCCGGCTTACAACCCAGCAGCCTCTGGCTTGGGGCTGGAGGCCAAAAGCCTGAGGTTATCAGAAAGTTCCTCCTTCTTGTGACGTTCCCTCTGTGGCTGCCTGATTCTGCTGAGCTAGGACATTCTGGGCAAACGTGGGTGCCTCAGCTGACATCCAGTTGAGGGGGCTGAGGCTGGGACCGGAGGGCATGGAGGACAGGAGGGCAGAGCAGGTCCAATGCCTTCCTGGGGCCGAAGGGCACTTAGAAGCACAGCTGTCATAGCTTCACCATTCTCCAGAGTAGGGAATGGCCAGCAGTTCCACCTCTCAGGTCTATGCCGCAGGCAGTGTTGAGAAGGATTCTGAGGCTGTGTCCAAGCTCCATGGAAAGCAGCGCCATGCTAAGAAAGATTAGGGGGCTGCATCCCACCACTGGGAATGAGCGCTGTGATTGGCTAGTGCTGTCTGGGTTGAGAGTGGATAGAGGAGTGATGGGGAGAGCGGCCGACCACCTGCATCTCCCGATCTCGTCTAAGCCCCTTGTATTTCACACACTGGTACTATTGTGATCATCCCCACTCTACGAGTGAGGATCCGGGGCCCAGAGAGGAAGAATGACTTGTGCGAGGGGCCGGGCCATGCCTCTGAGCGTCCGCATCCGCCGCAGCACGCCGCAGCCCACAGGCAGGCAGTTCCCATCCGCTCTCCCGTCAGGCCTTTCTGTGAGTTCAGACTGCGCAGGCGTCACTCGGCGCGCCAGCGCCCCAACAGCTGGCGAAGGGTCCTGCACATTTCAGTGTCATATGCATACCATATCCCCAGCTGGCCAACACAGACCCTGGCACATCAGAGCTGCGCAGCCTCGGAAACTAGCAAGTCCACCCTCGACACGGGCAGGGAGACAGGGCCCGGGGAGGTTGCCACCCCTTGCTGGCTGTGTGACCCTGGACTCCTCTAGTGCCCTCTCTGGCCATTACTTCACAGAGTTGTTGGGAGGACCAGGGAGGTGGCAGTGTGACGGGATCAGGATTCAGGCCTGGGCCTTTACAGGTGTTCAGAATCAATCCCCATCTGCCGGGAGGCAGCCACTCACCTGCTGTGCGACCTCAGGCAAGCGATGCCCCTCTCTGGGTCTCTACCTCCCCTTGGGTAAAGCGAGGAGGGGGTTCATGTTCTTTTTCCTGCCTTTCCCTGTGTGACCCCGGCCAGCTGGGAGATGCCGAATCAGAGAAGATCCCAGTGCTGGCCATGGGCCTGACCCCTCCTGCACAGACTCAGCAACTCTAATGACCTCCCGGCTGCTCACTGACCTCTGCGGTTTATACCGCTTGTTCCACCACAACCCTAAGAGGAAGATATCGTTCCCATCCAATGGATGGGAAAGTGGAGACCCAGAGAGGTGCAGCGGCTCACCCAAGGTCACACAGCCTGGAGAAAACAGAGATGGGACTTGAACCCAGCCTTGACTCCCAATCTAGTGCCCCCTTCCCTGCTTCCCTCACCCCACCTTGGGGCCAAAAGTCACATGGCTGGGATCCTTTCTGTTCCCTTCCCATTCTCCCGACAGCTGTGCCATCTCTGCCAAGCAGAAGCAAGGAGGCAGCTGGAAAGGAGGGAGAATTAGAGACAGGGCCAGGAGGTTTTCCTCTCAGACTGTGTTCAGCTGGGCTTGGGCTTGGAACTAGGTTTGGACACTGAACAGCTGGGTGATGGTATCAGAGACTTCCCCCTCCCCCATGCCCCAGTGCCTGCGCCCTGCCAGGCCCTGTGCCGGGCGGCCTCGAGCACCCAGAGCTGACTCAGCTCGGGCCCTGCCTGAGGCGCTCCCTGTCTGATGCAGAGACAAGGAAATGCAATATGTTACCACACCAGGGTGGGAGGTGCCTAACCAAGTCCTAGAGGTCAGGGAGGGCTTCCTGGAGGAGGAGATGTCTACAGCCAGGGCAGTGTGAGTAGGAGTCTGCCAGACAAAGTAGGAGGGAAGGAGGGGAGAGACGTGTCACGGGGCGGGGGCGGCCCAGAGACAAGAAAGCGCGGGTGGGAGGAAGTGAAAGCAATTCCTTGTGGCTGGAGTGCAGAATGGAGGTGGCGGTGGCAGGAAACGAGCCTCGGACTGGACACACGGACACACGGGGCCTGGGGTGCTGTGAAGTGGGTCTGGACTTTAATCCGGGTTTTAATCTGGTTTTAATCTGAGAGGTGGCATGGTCAGGTGGAAAGATCGTCTAGTTGCTGTGTGGACGACAGGCCGAGGCCAGCGGGGGCGGGGGGCATGCTGGGACCTCCCCAGGTGTGCGTGAGGGGAAGGCGACCGTTTAAGAGCCTGCACTGAAGGGTGGGGTCGGTCGGGGGGTGTATGAACATCTCCAGGTAGTGCCTCCGAAAGGGCAGCCAGCAGATTCCATGTGATTCATCGGAGTAGGGCAGGGGTGTATAGCGGCCCCCAAGGAAAAGAGGAAAGCCAGGCGGGCAGCCGGGGCCTAAGCCACATAGGGTTGGAGTGCTAGGCAGGGACACTGAGGCCAGAGCCCAGGCTGAGCCTGCATGTCCAGCCATGGGGGCAGCACCTCAGGGCTCCAACCCATGAAACGAGCCTTACCCCCGTCCCACCAAGGATCGGCACAAGTCTAGAGGTGCCTGAGGCCTGACGTGTGCTCTGGGCCTCAGCTTCTCCTGGTAGCCCCAAGAACCTGGGTGACTTTTAAAACCCTCCCTGCCCAAGGGCCACAGCGGCTGCCTCTGTCGGGGGATCTCTTGAAGTGCCAACTTCCCCTTCCTGTCCCCTCCTTCTTTCCCTCTGAGCAGCCAGACCCCTGACTGTGTGGGCTGGAGGGGCTGGGGGGTTTCCTGAGAAGCCGTGGACAGTCCCCACCTCGGCCTGAGTCACACTGAGAATGCAGTGACTATTACTTGAGCATCTGCTATGTCAGGCGCTGTTCTAAGCGCTGGGAGGCAGCGGTGGATGGGCCGAGAGCTCTGTCCTCATGGCGCAGGTGGAGACGGACACGGAACAGATGTGTACCACATATGTGAGCGGTAGTCATTGCACAGGGCGACAGGTGCTACGGAGAGACACGAGGTGTGGAGGGGACACAAGGAGAGAGAGTGAGTGTGTGTGTGTGTGTGTGTGTGTGTGTGTGTCCGGGGTTGGGAATCCTAAATTGAGTGGACACGGGATTTGAAGAGCGACCTGCGGTGAGGAGGCAAACCATGTGGCTATGTAGGGCACGAGGATGGCGGGCAGGGGGAATGGGCAGTGCAAAGGTCCTGAGGCGGAGCATGGGCCGTGCGTTTGAGCAGCAGCAAGGAGGCCATGCGGCTGGGGCAGAGCAGACGAAGGGGAGCCAGGCAGGGCTGAAGGGAGAGGGGTCAGTGCTGGGGGCACATCCCGCACCACTTCGTGGGCCCCTACAGTGACTTTGGCTTTACTCCAAGTGAGATGGGAGCCATGGGACGGTCCTGAGAGAGGTGTGATGTGATCTGCCTTAACATGAAACTCCCCTGTGTCACCCAGGAGGAAAGCAAGGCACAGAGAGGGTCACTGACCTACCAGAGTCCTGCCACTAGAGAGTGGCCCCAGGTGGGTCTGGCACCAACGTCCATGTGCTTCCACATGGTCCCTGGGAAACACCTGGTCCCGCCAGATGTGCGTGAGGTCAGCCCCACAGACAGCTCAAGGGGCCAGGGCCTGCCTCCAGGCTTTTGTCCCCTGCCCATTGTCGAATTGGGCACTGCTAATACTGCACAAGTTTAGAGGGTGCTGCCCTGCAGACCACAAGCATCTGCCTTTGTCCTCTGTGTTTACCACCACTCCCCTTGGGAACTATCAGATGAGAAAACTCCGGCTCACACTGAATGCGGGAGGAGATCGGACCAGCTGGGGATGGAGGGGGCAGCTGCTGTAACGGGGCCTTTAGGAGACAACCCCCTCTCCAGCCTACGCAATGACCACTGGCCCCCGGAATGTACCCTCCATGAGTTTTTATTCCTCTCTGTCTCCTCAGTGCCAAGCACATGTAGCTGCTCAGTAAATAGTTGTTGAGTGACTACGAGGTTTCCATCCTGTGGGGAAGGCACTGGGGGCCAATGGGACCTCATCAGTCTAGGTATGGCTGCCCCGTCTGCCAGGGCACATGGAACTACTTCTGGGCAGCCCCCAGGAGTTTGGGAAGCTTTCCCACAACACAGGTCCGGATAGGGGAGGCTTGGAGAGGGGAGGGGACTGGCTGTGTTGTATCTTGACAGGGCGCTGATTGGACTTCCTGAGTCATTGACCGGGACACATATGTTTTGTGCATTTTTCTGTATGTAGGTTATACTTCAGTGAAGTTTTTTAAAACCAAATGAAACACACATCTGAGCCCCATGTGGAAGAATGGCCAGGGGAGGGGAGTCCATTCATTTGGTGCATATTTATTGAGCACCTGCTGTATTCCAAGCACTGATTAGGCGTATTGATGCTGTGGGAGGACAGGCAAGGCCTCTGCCCTCATGGGCTTACATTTTGGTGGAAGAGGGGTGGGAGGGAGAGAGGAACCAAACATAAGAACTGCAGAAGAGGTGGCTGTTAGGAGGGTTAATTACTGGGGTTATGGGATGTGACACAAGGGGGCTTTTTAGCCAGGATGGTCAGGGAAGACTTCTCTGAGGAGGTGGCATTGGGCAAAGACCTAAACGATAAGGAGTCACTGTGGAGAGATAGGAGAACACTGAGAAGAACAGCAAGTGCAAAGGTCCTGAGGCTGGAATGAGCCATTCAGGGAGGCCACTGTGGCTGGACCAATGTGGACAGAGGAGGTGATAAGTATGAGATGAGTTCTAAGAGAGCAGGGGCCTTGAATGCCAAGGTAGTGAGTTTGGATTTTATTCTCAGCGGGGGGGAAAAAGTGACTTTGACTTCCTTTCTCCTCTAGGTCTCCAGCCCAGAGGGCACCTTCTGCAAACATGTCTGGGGACCCCTTATCCAGCAAAGCCCTGAAGGTGAGGAGGCAGCCCCTCTTGTGCCCAGTGAGGCCATCCCTCCCTGCCCATGCAGACCTTGCCATCCCAGCTGCCACTTCGTTCCTGGAATCCCAAAGAGTGGCTCAGCAGGCACCAGGCGTTCAGGACGCCAAAGGGAAGGGCCATGGGCTGGGAAGCAGGAGGGCTGGGCTCTGGTCACAGGCTGTGTGTGCCCCGGGCAGGTCACTTCCCTCTCTGGGCCTGCTTCCCCATCGGGTCTTTGTCCACTGGGACATTCAAAGGTGCTTTCCGCCCTGGGTTTCTCTGGCCCTGTCCAGCACTGCGCTAGGTTAGGGTTCAGGCCAAGCCCCGGGGTGGCCTCCTTTGGTGTTCTGATCCTGGTTTGGCCTAGTTTCCCCTTTCCGGGTTCCTGCTCCCCTTCGGAGCTTGGATCAAGTCCAGACACCACCTCAGTGGCTAAGGCGGTGAAGGGGAGCACGGGTGGGGGGGGACGGGGGGAACAGGGCAGAGGAGGGCGTCCCATCACCTGCTGCGCTCCGGGCCCAGGGCTGGGGCCCACAGGCAGGAGTGAGGCCCGGGCCTCAGTTTCCCCATGACCGTAGATCAAGCGCGAGCTGAGCGAGAACACGCCGCACCTGTCGGACGAGGCGCTGATGGGGCTGTCCGTGCGCGAGCTGAACCGACACCTGCGGGGGCTCTCGGCCGAGGAGGTGACGCGGCTCAAGCAGCGGCGCCGCACGCTCAAGAACCGCGGCTACGCCGCCAGCTGCCGCGTGAAGCGCGTGTGCCAGAAGGAGGAGCTGCAGAAGCAGAAGTCGGAGCTGGAGCGCGAGGTGGACAAGCTGGCGCGTGAGAACGCGGCCATGCGCCTGGAGCTCGACGCGCTGCGCGGCAAGTGCGAGGCGCTGCAGGGCTTCGCGCGCTCAGTGGCCGCGGCTCGCGGGCCGGCCGCGCTTGTGGCGCCCGCCAGCGTCATCACCATCGTCAAGTCCACCCCAAGCCCGGGGTCTGGCCCCGCCCCCGGCCCAGACCCCGCCCCCGGCCCGGCCGCCTGTTCCTAGTGCCCGCCCCGCCCTATTCCCCCGAGCCACGCCCCATTCCCCCAGCCACGCCCCTCCGACCGCGTCTCTCTTCCCAAAGTGCCTGAGCAGTCTTTGTGCCCAGGTCCCATTTCTTGCAGCCGCCAGCCCCTGTGATGAACACACATTCCCTCCTGGGACCCTGTCTTCCTTGTGTAGACCCCGAAACTGGGACTTAATGGTCCTAGGGAGGGGCAATTTTGGTGGTGGTGGGGTGGGGGTTCCAGATCTGGGGTCACCCTTGGCTGAAAGTTCAACCTTCTTAGATTGGTAAGAACAGGATACAGAGCGGGCTCAGAGAAGAGCTGTCGGGGGAAACGAGGGCATTCCTCATTTTGGAAACTGCTCTGAATGTGCCAATATGCCCTCCAAACCGTCCCAGGACTCAGGATTCAGTCTGGCTGTCCTGCTGGGAAACTGCACTGAAGAGATTCTCCCACCTCTGCTTTGGGCCTGGGGGCGCCTGGCTTTCCAAAGCTAGGAGAGTGGTTAGAAACGACTAGTGGAGCCCAGTTAACAGATGGGGAGGCAGCCCTGCAGTGGACTCGAGGCCGCACACCACTTAGTAGTTGAGCCGGAACCAGAAGCTGAGTTGTCTTACTGCTGCCCCAAGATTCCAGCCATGGAACAGTGGACAGGACTGAAAAGGTGGTGAGAGGGCCTCCCTGGCCTGGGAGATGGCTCTCTACAAGGGAAGGGCAAGAAGCAGAGGGACAGAGAAGGTGATACAGATGGATGGGTGGGAAGGAGCTGGCCTGGCTCAGCCTTGGGCTCTCCCTGCAGTCAGGGTGCCCTGGAGACAGCCAGCCAGAGAGAAAGGGGACTGTGGTGGTGTCTGCTGTGGCAGATGGGGATAAGAGACAGATCCTGTGGTCCTACAGCCTGGAGTGGCGTCCTTGGAAGTAAGGGTCCCACCTGGACCCTGCAAGTATCCACTGTGGGATGGGGGCGGGCTGCAGCCAATGATTGCCATTTTCCTGGAAGCCAGGCCCCAGCCCCTCCCCCAACACTGTATAGAGCTGCCCGTCCCCACTATTTATTGCACGGATCTAAGTTATTCTCCCCAGCCAGAGCCCTAGATCCCACTCCTTGGAAAAGTGGCTTGTGGCCCTGAGCTGGACTTTATATTTTATATCTACAAATAAATCACATTTTATCTTATATTTAGGGAAAACCAATGGCAACAACAAAAAAAATGTTTAAAAAAAATTGCCTGGGCCCTAGAATTTATTTATTTCCTGACTTACAGTGAGCGAGTTATCCGCCTTCTGTATTTTGTAGACTTTCTGAATAAAGTCAAATTCTTTTCCCACAGAGAAGTGTATATTCTGGGCTATGTTTTTTTTGGGGTGTGGGGCTTCTGAATGGGGGATCTAAGATGGGGTTTTGTTCCAGCCCCAGTCAGGGCCTCTGGGGGTGGCGGGGTGAGTCCCCATCACTAGCTACTGCGCAGGGGCATTGGCTGGGGTAGAGGCAGGCCGGGGAACAGTGTGCTGGAACTTTGGTCCTTCCATCTGGCTGCCTAGAGTCCGGGAGCCTCCCTGGGGATGGCAAAGCCACTAGCACAATGAAATTTAGGGTTAAATTCCCTGCGCTTCCCTTCAGTGAACAAACAGTCCCACCCAGAGAGGAAAAACCTCAGATTTCAGAGTAATCTTTCCAGCACTTTCACATTGAGGTCTGATTTTCTACAGCCAAGCAGGAAATATTTTCCCCATGTTCCAGAAGGCACAGGGAGCAAGTGGCTTCCTCAGTCCCAGCCTGCAGGCCTAAAACATAACCCTGCATCTCATCCCAGGCCCCAGACTCACTAATTCCAACCCAACCTGCCAGCCCGCCTGAGGGACCCTGAGAAGGAGCCAAGTGTACTGCGGTCTGCAGGTCAGGGCAGTCAGGGTTTGAATTTGTGTGTCTTTTCCTGGCTGTGGGGTCTTTGGTACTTATTTGGTTTCTTGCAGCCTCAGTTTACCCTTCTGTAAGATAAAGATGCTATGAGGTCAGAAGCATGAAAAGTCCCAGAGGCCTGCGGGGCTGCAAGCTTTAACATGTGGAACCCATGTGTACAGCAGCACAGACCAAGGTGAGGACAACCGTGTAGCTGGGTACGGCGAGATGGCGGGGCCGGGGACCGGTCGCCGGTGGAAGGTGCAGGATTTGCATCTGGGAACTGGACAAACCGCATGGCTTGGCTGGGACCACAGGGCTTTCTCCCCATCTCAGGCTGGGCCTTGGTGTTTTCCCTGCCAGGACCTCGATCCCGAAATGCTGAGCTCAGGCAGCGGAAAGGGCGGCAGGAAGCTGCGGGAGGGGCCGGCTATTTACCTCAAGGTTAGAGGCTGGCTGGGACTGTCCCCCACCCACGCTGCATTCCTGAGCGCTCCTGTCAGCAGGAGGCCAGGCCTAGGGAGGCCTGCGGTGGAGGGAAGGTGCCCCGGAGGCCAGGCACCGAGCCTGGTGGGCAGACACTGCCCACGCCCAGCAGCCTCTGCCCCTGGGGTCCAGGGGAGGACGGGCTCTGGAAGGTGGGAGAGTCTGGGAGGAAGATCCCAGGGAGAACTTCAGCCTCCAGGGTGCAGGCCCCACCTACCCGGCTGACAGAGCCCCTCACGTGGTGGGGGCATGAGACCCTGCGGCCAGCTGGCTGGGGGATGGGGAGGCAGTTTGTCCAAGGGGGGCCTGGACCCTGATTTTAGTCTCTGGCAATGTGAGCCCCCTCATCGCCTGCAGGTTACACACAGGAAGGGAGAGCGGCTCCTACGACAGCCCTGGCCACGACCACTACAGCCACCTCCAGACACATGCGGGGGCCTGGGGGGAAGGAAAAAACCTCACCCACAGGCAGAGGAGATTTCAATACAATCTATATTATCTCATATATATATTTCTTCCTCACTTTATTTGCTCACTTCTGTCACACATTTAAAATGTCACAGAGACCAAAATAGAGCGGCTTTCTGGTGGAATTCATGGCAGTCATACAACGAGATACAAAACTAGGGACTCTGTCTTCTCATACATCATACAATTAATTTTTCAAGTATCTTTTATGTACAAAGAGCTACTCTATCTGGAAAAAAAAAAAAAAAGACAAGGTAGGTTATGCATCCTAGGAAGGCGGAGGGGATGGAGCGGTCTGGCAGGTGTTCCCGACCCTGTGTTCCCAGGGACCACTAGTTCCCTGCCACCGAGCTCCCCCCACCCACCAGGCGAGCAGACAGTGCCAGGCAGGCAGGGACCAAGGGGGCCGGGAACCAGCAACACACTTTGGCCTGAAGGAGAAAGGAAAATGAGTTGGAGAAACAGATTCAGAAAGCAAATGCAGGGGGAGCCAGGGCTGCTCCTCAGCCTGCGCCTGCCCTGCCCTCCTGGGCAGCTTGGGGCCCGCCGGCCAGGCACCCCCCGACAGGCGTCCAGAACTGACCTCCGGTACCCCACATGGAGGCCTCTGGGCCCCCGAGGGCTGGCTTGGCCAGGAGGGCAGGAGAGAGGCCAGGAAGACTGCTGGGACCTGACCCTCATCACAGATCCGAGAGAGGGACCCTGTTCATTCCAGGAAGGACCAAAAGAAAGATTCCATGGTGAATGCCAGAGGCAGGAGCCCCTCTCCCTCACCCCACCCACTTCCGGAGGCTACTGCAGCCCCAACCCAAGTACTATCTGCTAAATGCCAGAAAGCTTTTTGTCTGTAGGAACATGCATTTTATGCCCAGCCTCTTCCTAAGCCAGGTGCCAGGTAAGCCCGGCCTGCCTGGGGGTCCAGTCTTGGGAGGCCCCAGGTATATGGGTATGGCGGGGTGAGCAAAGGGGGCTTGGTGGTCCTGGCCACTCCTGAGGCCTGTCCAAGGGCTCTTGGCCCAGCACTGCAGGACCCTCTGAGTGCCAGCAGCATAACAAGGAGCCCCCAGGGGGTGTCTGGGACACACAGGGGCTAGGGAGGGAGCTTTCGTATGTGACTAAGGCACAGAAGAGAGGAGCCGGGGGGCCAGAGGAGACCCTGTGTGGACAGGGCCCCGGAAGAGAGGTCTGGGACCACTGCTGCCACCTCCCAGCTGCATGGCCATCCCTCCCACCCTCCCCACTGGACTGTCTTCCTCCGGACGCTGGTCTGAAATGTGGCGACTCAGACCTTTCCCCTGAAACAGGAGGGAGAAGCCCCAGGGGGAGACCAGGGTCCAGTACAGGTTCTGGCTGCTTGGCCTGGGAAGGAGGGTGGGAAGGCCCGGAACAGCCCAGGGCTTCCCCCATAGCTCTATCGAGAGGAAGGACCCAAGCGAAAGGGCAGTGCGGGCTGCTGGCCATCCTCGGCAGGCCGGGAGGAGGGGCACAAGGTGGGCAGAGGTGCAGCCACGGCAAGGACACCCAGGAGCCAGAGGCCCCTGAGCACCCTCCCTAGGAGGGACCCATGGCTCTTGGGGTCTGGCTCTGATCCTTGCAGCATGCCAGGTCGGCCTGGGTCAAGAGGGGGCTCCACAGAGCATCCCCATTTCCTCCTCCTGCCCGGGGTGAGGCAAATCTGGCATAGGACAAAGGCGGACAGGGGAGGGGAGCAGGCGGGAAGAGCCCAGGTCAGAGTATTGCACGGTGTAGGAGGTGGGCTGGGGCCTGCCAACCTCAGCCCAGAGTCTCTCAGGGGAGAGGTGTCTAGAAGGCTGCAGCCGCTGGTCCACACGCAGCGTTTGGCCTGGGCACAGCTGGTCCCGGCATGCCCCACCACAACACGAGCAGCAGGGCCGTGGGTACTGCTCCACCGTCCTTTGCCCCTTGCCCGGGCAGCGCAGGGGCAGCCATGCAGGAATATTCCTGAAGGCTCGTGGGTGAGCCTAGGCTGTCCCCCTGGGCAGACAGCATCTGGCTGTTCCGCTGGAAGTGATATGCGAGTGTTTCTGGTCCAATAAATAAAGGGCAATGCCAAAGCTGTGCCAGCCGCCTCCTGGCTTGGCTGTGAGCCTGGGGGTGGGGAACAGCTTGCCTCGGGCCAAGGCGCCAGCACTCCCCGCACTGCAGCCTGCACCTAGAACTCGTCATCAGAGCTGAGCAGGAGAGTCTTCTCGTTGTCACGGGCACCACTGAGGCTGTGGGAGCGTGAGAGGCCGTGGGCGCTTCCGCGCCAGGTGGGCGCGGGCTCCAGCGTGGACTGCTGCGTGTACTGCTGGTAGGCAGGCGAGAAGTTGTGGATGGCATCCTGCACGATGTCGTGCGGGTTCATGGTCTCCTTGAGGCTGCTGGAGATGCTCTTCATGGGGGCGCAGCGGCCTGCAGGGCAGGGGGGGCAGCGAGAGGGAGGCGACTCAGCCCCTGCCCCTCATGCTGGGACAGCGCCCCCACCCCAAGGCTGCCATTCAACCACCTCCTCCAGGGGCAGAGAATGAGGTCTAGGACTAGAGGAGGGGCAGACAAAGAAATGATTCCTTTGGCTAGGGAGCAGGTGTGGGGGGCAGCCCCAAAGGGGTGGCCAGGTGTCAAAAGGTCACTGGCAACCGGGTCAGGTGGGTAGGGAGGGATCTGGGATGCCCCAGAAAAGCCAAGACAGGGTCGGCACTGACTGAAGTCGGGCGAGCTGGGGACGAGGGCCTGGCAGCCAGGAGGACCTGGGCTCTACAGGTGATAGGCTCCTGCCCCCCACACCTGGGGAGAGGACCAGGGCCCAGGCTGGCCTGCACCCACAGGGAGCAGACACGACTCATGGGCTCCCCTCCCCGCCCCGACAGGCCTCCTCCTCATCCGCTAATGAATCTTTCCCACCGGCTCAGAGGGGAGAATGGCCCAGGCCGCAAAGCCAAGATGTAAGGTTCCAGCTCTGGAACCCAGGTCTTCTGGCTCAAACTGTGAGCTCTTTCCGCCCTCGGGTTCTCTGCCATGGAAACATTGCTAAATCCCCTGAGAGCCCGGGAACGAGCACTGTGCCCCCAGGACTCAGCAGGGAATATTCCAGAACAAGAGACCAGGATGGAAGTAGCAAGCTCTACAGAGGGTGGCCCTTGGCAGGCAGGTGCTCTGTGCGGAGATGACACAGAGAAGGAACTACGTACAGAGAGGGGCATGCCAGTGACAGTGACCAGAACTGACGTGCAGGACAGACGTGCAGACCCAGGGTGGGACCTACCGTAAGGGCCATACGTTGGCACTGCCCACGGCCAAACCCGCGGCAAAAGCAGGGCAAGAGGGGCGGGGAGAGAAGCGGAGAAATAGAGAAGAGACAGCTGAGTGAACAACGCGCGCCCGCCACCAAGGCCCACCAGCACGACACCACGCGTCCTTCCCTCCCCTCTCCCACTGGGCACCCAGGCAGCTCCAGCTGCCCCCTGGGGCCTGGGGGGGACGTCCACCTAGGGATGACTCTTCCAATGCCTCCAAGGGATGATGACTCTCCCACGTGCTCGTGCCAACAGGGGCTATCCCGCCTGGTGGCCAGCGCTCCACCTGTGGCCTCGGTCAGAACAGCCCGTTCCCCTTCTCTTCAGGCGTGGCTGGAGCCCCGGTGCACCACGTGCTTTACAAACCCCACAACACTTCACAGACAAGGAAACTGAGGCTCAGAGGGAGGAGTTACTTGTGCAGATCACAGCAGAGCTGGCTTTGCACCCAAGCCTAACCCGAGGGCTGAGGGGGGCCGGGCCCCTCAGTAGAAGGTAGCCAAAGGTCCAAGGACAGCAGAGAGGCAGGCGCAGGTGAGCAGCCGGGCTGCACTCTGGCCACGCTGTTTCTTGCTGGGGTTGGTGTGTCTGTCTGAGGGCAGTGTGGAGATAGCCCAGGCCGACAGCAGACAACCTCTGCAGAGCCCACGGTGCAGAAATGGTCTCTGTGTGGCCCCGCCTGCTCCTTGCGGTGGCCGCAGGCTCCAGGCCCACAAGTGACATTGCCATGGGCACAGGCTCTGCCAGACCAGGTCCAAGGGAGGTTGCCCTCAACACTGGGTGGGTGTTTGCTGGATGCTTCCAGCTGGGCACACCAGCTTGAAAGCCTTGGCCAGCAGAGGGTCAGGCACAGCGTAGGTGTGCAACCAAAGACTGAAAAAGTGACCAGGGTCCCAGCAAGAGAGTGTGTTGGGAGAACAAAGCCAGCACGGGCATCTCGGGGCCTCTTCGCAACCACGGAAGGTACAGGGGAGAGGGAGGAATGAAGTGGGCCTGCTACACGCCACGCCACTCACATGGGGCCTGCGGGGGCCTGGTGGCACGGCCTGGGGAAGTGGGTTTCTCGCTGCCAGCCACTTGGGAAGACAGCTGGCAGCAGCCAGGCTCCTGAGTGGAAGTGTTAGACCAGGAGGCTGTCCTCTCCCCAGCCCCTCCTGCCTCCTCCCTGGGCAAGTCAGTTTCAGACATTCCCAGCCTCCTCTTCCTCACCTTCCGAGAACCTTCTCCCTGCCACACACACACTGCCAGGCAGCTGCTGCCCTCCTGGCCCACTACCTCCCTGGCCACAGCAAATCACCCTGGGAGCTCTTAAAGCACAGAGCTCTCCCGGCACAGCCTGTCTGCCCAGCCCAGCCCCGACAGGGAGGAACCTCTGAGGGCGGGGCTGGACATGGCACTTTGAAAAGCTCTCCAGGGCATTTTCCTACACAACTGGGGCTGCTAACCACGCTTCTAGCAAGGAGGAGGATTAGCAGGTGTAAAAAGAAAGCTGTTAAATGCTATTACCATCTAAGTCTGTTTCTTAGAAGTAATTGGGTTTTTTGTTTAAAAAAAAATGAACTTTAGAGATGAGGAAATTACAGGACAAGTTGGGTAACCACGCACAGTGCTGGGTGTCAGAAGCCTTCAGGAATTTGTTCATTAGAGTCTCTGTCCCCACTGGCTATATCATCTCTGGGTGTCCACATTTGGACCTGCTGCAGGAGACAGGTGGGCTTAGCAACGGGACCAATCGGTAGTGCTGGCGCGAGGGTGCGAGTCCCTCCTGGTCCTGCCCCCTGACCTTGACCTCTGCGGCCCCTTCCCTATGTGTAAACTGGGGATCCCATGACCTGACCCAACCACACTTGTAGGACGCTGAGAGGTGGGAGAGTCCTGGGTGGGGGCGTCTCCCAGGGCCCGGGCTCGTACCTTGTGCGTCCAGCCTCTTGTCTGCATAGACCTTGTAGGTGAAGGCGTGCCGCAGGGCCAGGGCTGCGAAGAACATCTCCACACAGATGATGAAGTCCTGGTAGCCGGCGGCCACGGTGCCCTCACCCACCGACACGCGGGCCGAGTGGATCTTGGGGATGGCCCCACACTTCTCCAGGATGGCCAGCAGCATGCCTGGACGGGGAGCACAGGCGTCTGGCCCCAGACTGGACCCCTTCCCAGGCCCCCTCCTCCACACAGCTCTGCCCAGACGCCCGTGTGCCCCAGTGAGGATGGGAGTGGGGTCACAGTGGCCCATGTAGGGCAGGGATGGCAACACAAGCCTCAACCTCTGGAAACCCCACTCTCCCAGCTCCTGGCCAGCTACCAAAATTGAGATATCACTGATTATGTGGGGTCTCCCGGGTTCCCCCATTCAGAGCTCCCCCTGCTCCCGTGAAAAGCCCTGAAGGGCGCCAACTTTGCTCCCAGCAGGTGTCCAGTGGACTGAGGCCCCTGGAGCTCCAGGCCAGGCTCACCCAGGACAGCCCCACACCTGAGCTCATGGCCACCAGGGACAGCAAGCAGAGGGAGAGCTCAAGGCTCAGATGACAAGGAGCACAGGTGGCCTCACGGCACTGGGAGAGGCTCACCCTGCCAGAAGGAGAGGAAGATGACGGACTTGACCATGAAGAACTTGAGGACGGGGCTGTAGGGGCTGAGCAGCTCCCGGGTGGCGAAGTAGAAGAGGAAGAGGGCGTAGAGGGCCAGGCTGACGGAGATGTTGTAGATGATGGTCACATAGAGGTAGCCGCTGGTGACGCTGTGGGATGGAACATCCTCTGGTTGGACAGACCCTTGCAGGGATGGGGCCCACCTCCGCCCTCCCGTGTGTGGCCCCCATGGTTCCTAGCTGCGCTCGTCAAGCAGAGCTCAGCGAGCCACTGAAGGAGGGGCAGGCGATCAAAGCGATGGGACGTGGGGTGGGGTGGGGGGGCGCACCTCAGGACAGCCAGCCCTGCCGCCTCTGCTTCACTCGCGGGTGTGTCTAAGCTCCAGTGCCCACACTCCTGATGCGGGACACCGGTGTGGAAGCCAGGGCCATGCTGGAGGCACAGCCCGACAGTCCAGTGACAGGCATCAAAGTAGGCGACGTGATCAAGTCATGCCCCCGACCTCAGTTTGCTCCCCTGCCCTGGCGGGGCTACCGTGAGGGTCACAGGAAGTGTGTGGGAAGCACTTGCAAGCACAGAGCCAGGCATTCGGTTACTGTCACTGACCCCAAATGAAGTGTGTGTGGACAGTTTACACAGCAGGGGCTTTATACCCCGGGCTTGGGGCCGGCCCCGACCTTCTCACTCCCTGCCTCAGAAGGGGTCGCTGCCCCGTCGTGGCCTATCCGCCCGAGGCACCACTCTGCAGCCTGCACGTGAACACGACTGCCGCCAAGGGCTCACTCCTGGGCCGGCAGCAAGGTCAAGGGCAAGGGTGGCCACTGCCAGGGTCAGGCTCAGAGGCACAGGGAGGCACAAGCACCACAGCCCACAGAAGGTCACAGTTGCGGGGCCCATCTGGCCGCTCCTGCCCTGAGCCAGGGCACCAGCCTGGGCAGGACACCACCCTGCGCCAGCACTCTTCCCCCAAGCCCAAGGGAGGGCCAGATACTTACTCAAAGTCCCCGTCCCGGTATTTGCCGAAGGCCTGGAGAACCACGGTGCTGACCGCCATGAGGGGCTTCACCACGCAGAACTGCAGGGTGGCCTGTTCAGGAGAGAGACGTCCGGGAGTCGAGGAGAGCACGGGAGACCTGTGAGAACAGGGACGGAGGGGCCGGCCCCATGTCCTGCTCCCAAGGGGACCGCTGGCTGGAGGGGCAGCAGAATGTGTGGGAGATGACAGTGCAGTGTCCTTATGTGGGAAGACACGAGGATGTTGAGGAAGGAGGACCAGCAACGGAGGGCACGACAGGCCAGGAGACGGTCAGCAGAGAAGGGAGCGTCGGGAACGTGCCGGAGACCCGAGGCGCACAGGCTTCCGTCCAGGCCCGGAGGCAGAGTGGATGGGTGCGAGGGGTTGAGCGCTGCCAAGGGGCAGCCTCCAAGAAGTGGGCAGGGCTGGGCCCTGCTGAAGGGACTGGCCACCCGGGGAGTGGAGGGGGGCGAGGGCCTCCTCTCATCCTCCCCTGCTCTGATTCCTCACGCCACCCTCTGGGCCTGGATCCAGGGCTTATGGTGAGCTGGGGCCTCCCAGGGGACGGAGATGACGCACAGGAACACCAAGTGGGGAGCCGGGAGCACCCAGAGCACACGGACTCCAGAGCCCTGGAGCCGAGTTTAAACTGCAGCCTGGCCAGCTCCTAGCTGCAGCTGCCCAGACAGTCTTCGGCCTCTGAAATGGACGCAGCCAGCCCCCGCCTCCCAGGGTCCCTGCTGTGGGGACGGCAGAGCCAGACAGAGCGGTGCCTCTTGGAGGAAGCCCACCTCTGTGCGTTTAGCGAAGGCTCCTGCCGGCTTGCTTACCGCTGAATGAATTCCTTAGCCAGGTTTTCCCAATTCCCTACAGAGGCCCCAGAAAACTCCAGAGGTATCCACGGTGCCCATAAAAGTCACTAGAATTACGCTTCTCTTGAAGACAAATAAGTCTAAGCCACAAACCCCTCCAGAGGAGCTGAGGTGGCGGTTACAAGCCGATCGGCAAGGCTGCACCAGCGTGGCTGCACGTGGGGCAAGGCGCCTGGGGCGGAGCGCGTGGCCTGCTGAACCCCGTCCCTGCACTGAGTGGGGATCTGGGTGAGGCCTTGCAGGGGCGCCCGGGCAGCCCGCACCATGGGACTGCCACACGGAGAGGCGCGTGGACGGGCAGAGGTGTGGTCCCGCTCTCAGAAAGCCCCACAGAATTTCCCTGGCCCCATCACCCCACCTGGAGGAAGTGGGATCGGCACCCCCCAGGGAAACGGGAAGAGCGGCAGTTTGCGCGATTCTCGCTATGAGCCTGGCGATGGGTGGGGCTGTTCCAGGCCAGCTCACTTGGTGCTGCGTGACATGGGTACCATCATCATGCCCGTGTTATGGATGAGGAAACTGAGGCACGGAGAAGCTGAAGTGGCAGAGGGGGCATCAGAGCCCAAACCAGTAGGCCCCAGAGCCATTGCCCAGCCACACCCTGGACCAGTCAGCAGTTCCCAGCCGGGATGGACATCAGGGTCACCTAGGGAGCTTTAATCAAGTGCCAGGTCCCCGAGCTCCATTCCAGACCTCCTCAATCGGGCTGGGGCAGAGGGGGCGGCTGATCTGGGAATCTCTGCTTTTAACAAGCTCTCCAGAAGCTTCAGACACTGGGAACTGGCCCGAGGATGTCTCAGGCCCACCCCCGTGCCTGCCGTGGTAAAGGGATGAAGAGGCTTCCTTTGTTCTCTTTCCTCTTACTACCTCTCCCGTCACCTCCAGGACCGACAGCAGGACATCCAGTCCATGGGGCTGGGGAATCATTTATAAGGAGGCCATGCTAGCTAGCAACCATGAGATCAAAACTTCGCAGACAATATAATCATTAAACAAGGCAGTGAGTCACAGCTGGCCCGGAACCTGGCCTGGTAAACAATGGCTCTAAATGCCCCACCCTGCGCCCAGGACAGTTTTAACTCTTTCCCCGCAGTTCCAGTAGTGAGATTCTGAATTTAGAAACACACTAGGGAAGGAAGATCTGGAAACAGAACTGGAGGCCTGGCCCGCCCAGGTAGACGCCTGTGGGTGTGCCCACTGAGGGCCTGGCCCTCACAGAAGAAGCAGAAGGGCCAGCCCTCTGCAGGCCACAGTGACTTGGCTGTGGCTTTGGTTTCCTCTTGTGCCAACTACTCCCGGCCATGCTAGAGAGACTGCCGGAGGCCTGGGGAGCCCCAGAGGGGACTAACGTGAGGTCAAGACTGCATGGGGCCCCTCGGCCTCCACCTCTGAACAGGAGGCCACAGGCTTTGTACGGGCACTGTGTCACACGCTCTACCTCCATTCCCTCATGTGTTCCTCTCCACCATGCCTTGTGATAAGTGTCATTACGCCCATCTTACAGAAGAGGAGACTAAAGCTCACACAGGTTAAGGACATCACCCAAGGTCACACAGAGAAGGTGGCCATCAGACTGGATGGTCAGACGCCCAGCCCCATGCGCTTAACACCAGCTCACAGCCACCGGCCAGGCTACTGTGGACCACAAGGAGGGTAGCCCAGAAAACCAGAGTGTCTGGACTGCCAAATGGGAAATGGAGGAAGAGACCAGAGAGACAGCACAGGCCTGTTCTGTCATGTGTCTCTGATGCCAAAACCCTCCTGCCCTCTAGCCGCAGCTCATGAGAAGTTTTCAAACCGAGATTCTAGAATCTCCATGCATTTCCTCTAATTCTTACACACCAAGACTTGGTCAAAATGAGCCAGAGTTTGGGATCAGCTCCTGCCCAAAGCCGCCCCAGACACTCCCAGGAGGCCAGTCACTGCCCCTCTGAGCACACCCTGCTAATGCACCTTCCTAATAGTCTGGGAAGGCGGGTGCTGGGGGCGTGGGGGCCTTGTAGGGAAGGGGACCTCCACAGGTGGGGTCAGGGCAGCCTGTGAAGGGCTCCTCCCCTCTCCCCGCAGCTGGGGCTCCAGGGCACAGACCCAGACTCTGGGGCCAAGCCTGCTCCTCCTGCCCTGGGCAGCTGCGGGGCACACACCTGTTTGCAGAACCGCAGAAATCCAATGGAATACGTCTTTCCCCAGAGGCAGCACGTGCCGTACATACAGCTGGACCTGGAAGAGACAAGCGAGGAGAAGGGGCTGGTGAGCGAAGAGCCGGGGCATGGGAAAGGTGGGGCTGGGGACAGCTGCCCTCCTGCATGTGCAGACAAGCTGGGACAGAGGTCTGGGGTGGCCCTGGAGCCCAAGGCCGAGCACAGGAGGGGCAGGGTAGAGTGTCTACACGTGAGGGATGCAGGGCTGCTCTGGCCCTGGGTGACAAACCAACTTGGAGAGCACTGAATGGAAAAACCGCAGGAGGGAGAAACAGACAAACAGGAAAGGACCGAGGCTGAGGCAGGAAGAGAGAGAACGAGCCAGAGGGGCCCTCCCAAGAGGCCAGATGAACAAGTCTTGCTCAGGAAGTGCGGGAGAGCACAGTAGGTCACGGTCACAGGCAGAGGTGGTCTGTGTGTCCAGCTGACGCCAGGGCAGCTCAAAGAACGCCAGGGCCAGGAGAAGGGGTGCTTTGGGGGTTGCCAGGACTGGCCATACTCACTCGATGGGCTTCCCTCTGATCTCCGACATGATGGAACTCTCTCCCCCGAGGTACTCGTAGCACAGGCTCAGGAAGTTGTAGATGACCAAGGCTGCGAAAAAGGCCCAGAGAAAACCACTGAAATCCGCAGAACAGGCCCCCAGACGGCGGGATTCTAAGCAGCGATGGAGGTGAAGGAGCCACAGCCGCAGGCAGCTACGGGAGCAGCCTCAGGGACACAGGGACGTGCAAAAGGAGCCCATCGACAGAATGGGCAGTTAGCGTTCCATTTGTAAGTTCAAAACCAGGCACAGCTAAATCGCCTTGCTCGGGGGTGCGCATCCGCGCTGCTGGTCAGGTCGTAAAGGAAGGCAAGGAGGGGACGGCCACAGTGCAGGACTGTGTGGCAAGGCTGAGATCAGGGTGGGCGCTTGCGGGGTTCAAGGGGCTGGCACTGTGTGCATTCTGGGGTGAAACGGTATTGGCTTTGTAATTATTAGTTTTACACCCTTGTCTGTGTGTTATAGGTTACAGAGCTTACAACAAGACGACAATTTAACATTCTCCAGAGGGATCTTGGGAGAAATGCTAAGCACGAATGAGAGAGCGGAACCTTCACCCGTTCAACAACCGCACAGGTTGGTTCATGCACAGAACTACAAATTGTAACGAAACATGTGAGAGTGCACAGAACACGGCGCAAAAGTCTCGGGAAGCTCGGCCAGCTCACTCAGGGGTGGGACACGCTCAACATCACCACGAAGACCCAAAATCCATAACAGTGAGCGACAGCACGGTCAAAGTCTGCTGCAAACGTCGACGCTATAAATACCGCAATTTGCAGTAGCAAGTCACCTGATCAGAGGATTTCTGCCGGGTCAGCAAAACGAAGGCTGCTGCCTGCACAACGCTAAAGCACACGAGTGTGCCAGGATCGAGGAAAGAGAGCAGGTATGGAGAGAAGCAGGATGAGGGCGAGGACATGGGAACCAGCAGAGATGTCCAACAAAGGCGCAAGGCCAAGGGAGTGCCAGAACGGGTCAGGGGAACAGAAAGTCACGGGAGCCTTGGTGGTCTGACAGGTAGGTCCCATGTGATCCCACCACCTCCTGCAGCACAGAGCCCTGCAAGGCTCCCTGGTGCTGCCCCCCTGGCTTGGCGCTTGGTCTTTCAACAGATGACCTGGTCCCCGCCCATGTTCATGTCCCTGCCCAGCAGCACCAAATGCCCGTCTGCCCTCAGGCAGGTTCTCTACTTTCCTGCGAAGCACTCCCGGGCCCGCTGCTTGGAGCACCCTTCCCCCTGCACTCCCTGGACCCTTTGAACCCAGCTGGGTATTGTGTACTTGCAGAAGTCTCCAGGGACTGGCATGGACGTTAGTGCCTTCTCACCCACAGGAACCTGATCTGTAGACACTTTCTGGAATCTCCCACCCTGTGTCATACTGGCCAACGGTGACCCCCTGCAACGGAGCCTCCTCCTTCCCCAGAGTGCAGGCACAACACGTAGCACACATGGGGCACACCACGAACATGTAACTGCCTCAAATTGGAGCACAGACAGCCCTGCAGTATGTTTTTAGGCAAAATTGGCCTTCAGCAATTCGGAAAGGAACGTAACTGGGGTACTTTACGCCACTCGCAGTTGCTCTAATCTCTACATGGCTCCTGTCTCCAGGCAGCACCCTATACACACTTGACCCACAGCATTTGACCATGCTTTGCTGTGACTGTCCCTTCAGAGGGTTTGCAGTGTGGCTCTGCCACCAGCTACCTGTGTGAGCCTCTCTGGGCCTCAGTTTCCTCTTCTCTTAATGGGGATCAGAGGGGCACCCACCTTGCCAGGGGGTTGTGAGGTTTAATGGAGTAGGCAAAGTATTCAGAAGGGTGACCCGTGCTCAGTGGAGCTCTCTGAGTGCCGGCCGTCCCAGCCGTTACTATCCACCTCTCTGCCTTGCTCAGGCTCAGACACTCCTGGATGGGTTGAGGGCCGTGTGCCCTGCCTGCCTGAACTGGAGGCAGCTCAGGATGTCTAGTGACAGCAGGAATGTCTGTTAAGCTCCAGATCACAACTCACTGGCAAGAACTTTGAAGCCGAGGAAAGGGTGGGCACCAAGCCATCTGATGTCAGCCTGATAATGACCTTTGCCAAAATCACACAAGACCCAGAGGAATGGATGTGTCCACTCTAAGCTGGGTCGAGCTGTATTGTGACAGATGGCATTTCCCAAAGACGGCCACAGCCTGTGATGCTGAAACCCCTCCGTTGAGAGGCAGGGTCTCATTTCCTCCTTTTGCATCTGGGTGAACCTGGGTGACTACAGCAGAAGTGGCATTTCATGACATCAATTCTGGGGTTAGAAAAGGCCTCTTTCTCCCTTGAACCCCGCCGCCATGCTGGGAGGAAGCACAAGCTAGCCCCTGTGGAGACCACGTGGAGAGGATCACGTGGAGGGAACTGAGGCCCTCGGCTGACAACCAGCATCACCGGCCAGACACATGCGTGAGCCATCAGATGATCCCTGCCAGGCCCTCGAGTGCTGCTGAGGCCCAGACACCATGGAGCAGGGACAAATAATCCCCACTGTGCCCTGTCCAAATTCCTGACCTACAGTATCCACAAACAAAGTTAACAGTTGCTTGACACTAGTACCTTTTGGTAGCATGGCTGATTATTTACTCAACCACAGTAAAGGGTTAAGTTCCCAGGATGCGCCAGACTCTCGTGCCTCTAGCAGTCTCGTTCTGATCCCCTGCCAAGTCCCAGAGGCAGACCCAGCTGAGATGCCACCTCCCCTGTCCTGTCGCCACGCTCACAACACACGCTGCCCGTCCCTATGACCCGTCCCTATGATGCGCCTGGTCCTCCCCCCGGAACAGAGGCAGTGTAACACAGGGCAAAGAGCCACGGACCCGGAGCCAGGCTGCCTGGGTGTGGACGGTGGTTCCAACACTCAGGAGCTGTGTGGCCTCAGGCAAGTTTCTTAAGTGCTCCATGCCTCAGTTTCCCCATCTACAAGCTGGGGATAACTCCTTCCTGCGGGGGTGCAGTCGGGAGGGGGCTGAATGTGTAGAGCCTCAGATGGGGCTGAGCTCAGGGAACAGCCCACAGTGCGTGGCCTACTGTTTCCTCTGGACATAGACTCCTCGCGGGTAGGAATCCCACCCCCAGTGACTCCCAGCGGACCTGGCGCCATATACACTTAGTCGACACTGAAGTAATGAGTGAACAGACACGCACCATCACCCTCACCTAGCTCTGCTAGGCTGGGCAGGTGGGTGCCACCTACTCTCGGTCTCACTGCTAGAGGAGCTGGAGAAGGTGGAGGAGCTGGAGGATCTGGAGGAGCTAGGGGAGCTGGGGGACCTCCTCTCAGAGGCTGGCACCTTCCCCAAGGCAATCAGTCTTCCAGTCACCAAAGACGAAACCCTCAAGAGAAGCCACAGCAGCCTGAGGTCCATCAGTCCCTCTGTCTGGAATCAGCTGCCCAAGCCAGCCCACCCTGCAATCTGCTCCTGGGACCGGCTTAGTGCCTGAGTGCCCGTCCTTTCCTGTGTCACAACACATGTGGGCACACTCCTGAATGACGCGGTCGAGGTCTACCCAGACCCGGCTCTGCATTCAATGAGTCAGAATCATCAAATTTCAACTGTCTCTCTCAGTTCAAGATTCTTGACCTTAAAGGTGCTCTGGGGCCAGCCAGTCTGTCAAGTACCCGTTTGCGGATGGCTTCCTCTAAAGAATCATTACTGAGTCGATAATGGGCTCACTAATTCTCCAAGAAGGAAGGTGAGACAAGACGTCCTTGGATGTGACGCAATCAGCCCAAACCAGGACCCAGTGACCATCTGGACACATCGATCCCCTCCTAGGAAATTACAGAGCCACGTAAAACCCCAACAGCCCAGCAAAGGTGTTTAAAATGGAAAACTCAACACACAATCCGGAAACAAACACAAAGACCCGGTGCCCTGGAAGTAAGAGCAGAGAAGCGGAGGCCAAGCAGGAGGGAGGCGGGAGGCTCAGTTGCAGATGCAACGGGCAACCACCTTCCCGCCACGCTTCCAGCCGTGGCCCCTGGAAGAGGCCCCAGAGACACAAAATGGTTCTATGCCTCCCTAATATCCACCACAACTGGTGTGCCAGGCTCTGTGCTAGGCTCTGGGGACACACAAGTGACCAAGGGACTGCAGGCCAGGCCTGTCAGTCCAGAGGGCAGCAACCAGTGTGAGGGGCACAGGATGGCCTCTGTTTCTCCTGCCCTGGGCAACCAGGTATCTGGAACTTTCTGCTCCAGATTTTAAACTAGAGACAAATGCATGCGATCAGGAGAGAAGGCCCAGGTTGAAGATGAAATGAAGACTGTGCTGGAGGCTTGGGGCCTGGTGAAGAGAAGACATTAGGGGTCCTCCTCTTCATAGATGTGATAGGCCCCTTGTCCCCAGGGTCAGACAGGACCCACATGGTCGCAGGGGCAGATCCCAGGACTTCAGCCTAATGTAAGAAACCATTTCTAATGGACAGAGACTCCAAGGATGGAAGGGGCGAGCTCCTTGCTGGCAGAAGCAATCCGAGGCTGGGCAGCTGCCCAGCAGACATTCTAAAGGGGCTCTTTCAACCCCGAGACGTGAGGCTTTCTTTCCTTGCTGACAGTTCTCTAACCAGGAGCTGTCTGGACAGGAAGCTGCAGTCCAAGAGACTGCTCTCCACCCAGCCTCCCAGCCTTGACCCAGCAACGCACAGCCCGGAGGGTCCCCAGGCCTTCGTGAAAGGACCGCTACTGCCAGCAGCTCCCAGGGTGAGGAGGCAGACCCACCCCTCCGTTCCTTCAGTAAACACTTGCTGGGCACTATAGCGCCCCATGCACCGTGTGTGGGACCTTGATGACCTGGGGCTCACCGGGCCATTCTAAGCTCACCTCCTGCACACGCCTTCAGCACTGAAGCTGGCCTAGGGGCGCCACCCTGCTACGCAGAAACGCTCTGGTTGTCTGGGAAGACTTAGGGCATTCCATAGTTCAAATAACTGGTGGATAAGCGTCGCAAACTTTAATTTTGACCACTTTGGACAGAAATCTCCGCTTAGTCAATAGGGGCCTCGAAACATTCGTTC